GAGGTGCTGCCACGCTGCTTCCGCCTGGCTTGCGTCATCCGGTGGGGAGATCCCTTCTAAAACGTCGCGGGCACGGAGAGCAAGGGCTCTGGCAGCTGGGTCCTCCCTTACCTCGGGCTCCTGGAGCCAATAAAGTACCTCGCCGGTAAGTTGGAGATATTCGTCCTCTGTGAGGTGAGGCGTCTTTCTGCGGAGTCCGGTCATTCTGTTCCGCCTCACGGCGCACGGAGAACAGAAGCTCAGGAAGCCGGAAGTCGGGGTGAACTAGGGGTTTTAATTGGAACAGCAACGATAAGGACAGGTAAAACACGGGGTTACATTACAATGACCGAACTGGGGAAACAAACTGAAACGCGGACTAAATACATTGCACTAATGACAGTAACCAGAAACAGCTGATAAACACGGGGAATCCACATGAGGTTAACGAGGGGGCGTGGCACATGAGAGGAGCGGACGATCGGGGCATGACATATACAAGCAGTATCGTTTCCCCTGGTAATTGAATAGATGTTCCTCGGAGGAGTTATTAAAATTTTCCATGCTTAATTGCTTTTAAAGATTGCAAAAGATTTATTAATGGATGGATGGATTGGATTGATGTCTTAAAAACAGCATTGTTTGCTTATGTTCATGATTTCCAGGGATCTCATTTATCAAACTTTGTGTAAATTTTATTGCAAAAGAATGTGTATGCACAATAACAGAATAATCGTGTATGCAGAAAAAAATGGATTTATCACACCTGGCATACATACAAGTTAATAAATCAAACTGTCTTAAAATAATAGGGGATGAAATGTAGTCAATTGCCCTAATTAGTAAAATCGGACATCATTGCATAGGGAAATGTGATGTAGCATGAGATGTAGCATCCTTTCCACTTTCTTTATGCCATCCAGCACGGAAGGCATTAAGGAGATGAAGGTTGGGTGGGTTATCTATGATCAGTATGCCAGTTCCCTCTGGTAGGTGCCTGTTGCCAGAAAGTAAACTGTAGTCAGAGCATGTATATATCACTGAGCTACATATATTATAGTCTGTTACAGCTATAATGAGATATTGGTTCAGCATTTAGACTTAAATGGTAACTCTTGTCTACTCCTTGTGTTTCCAGAGCCCGTATTCACAAAGCATTTTATCTTGATTTTATCTGTTTTATACTTCTCATGCCATTTTAGCATAACATGAAAAGAGGCAGAAAAAGGAAAAAATGTGGGTTTATTTAAGATGACCTGCTTGAGATCTGACATTTGGTCTAAAATCTCTTTCAGTTTTTGGAGATGATACAAAGTCAAATCGACATTGGTTGTGGGTCATTTGGAATTACAATACGAAGAGGCTCAGAAACAAAGTATTACAACTAACTACCTTTAACGACAAAGACACAGCAGGTGCTACTGCGACTGACAATATATGACACTTCAGAAGACTGACACTTCATTATGAACAGGACTTTAAAATCAGGAAACAAAAAAGTGAAGAGATGCCACAAAAATGTCGAGTGGACAATGAATGGTAAGGGGCATTGTAATTAGCGATAAGCTCAAATGCTGGAGTTAGAATGAAGAGGACATCAAGCCATCAAGTCATGGTTGTTCATGTATTGGAAGAGACATCACAGAAAGCTGCCAGTGTAACAAAGATCATCTTTAGAACAAAAGATGATGGATCATGATGTTACAGGCACTGAGGACAGTGGTCACTTTCAAAGTGAATGTGATGAAGTCAGGCAGCAAGAGAAAACAGGCCATCAGATAGACAGATCCATTGAAGATCAACATTGAAGATGGCAGCATGAATCAAATCAAGCACTCAATGAAAGAAACACCATCAGAATTCATTCACTTGACGTTCAATCCATCCCTGGATCAAAAAAAAAAAGAGGTCTGTGCTGTTCCTCAGAAATTCTTTTTTTTTTTTAAACTAAGGTTCTGTCGTGCCGGCAAGCAGGCGAGCGGGGATGCAGGCGAGTCGAGCCGGTAATACGGGCAAACGGGGTTTATTAAGAAATCCACAGGACAATGGGAGACGAACATCAATGACAGATCTGGGAAATACTGACTCAGATGCAGACTAAATACACAGGACATGTTGAACATAACAGGCAACAGGTGAATACAATCATGAATTAACACGAGGTAACGAGGGGGGCGTGGCACACAGGAGGATCGGACGAGCTGGGCGTGACAGGTTCACATAATTTAAGGAACAGTTGTGGTCTACGCCCTGTAGGATCACGCAGGCCCCACAGACAGTATTTTATGGCAGCTGAAGGAGTGAGTCGGCCATGCTAAGATCTACCTCCGTACCTCCCTCTCCCAGGGCCCCTCTCCAGGGAAGCTGAAGCCCGCATTCCAATGTTTATGGCCCTCAAACGGAGGACCCAAATAGTGTGGAGGGGGGGGGAAGATCCTGCATACCTCTGGAGTGGGACAAAGCTAAAATCATATGCCACCTATGTGTATTTGACTGTATATTGTCCTCACTATTATTTGGCATCATTACTGTAAACTTGGTGGATGTGTATGTGTCAGTCACAATTGTCTTCTATTTCTCTTATGAATGTCCCATTGTATCTTCGCCACTTGGACAATTATATACATATATATACATACTGTATATATATATATATTTTATAGAATATGCACAGATAGGTAAACACTGGGGTTATCCAACCACGCGCTCACACCTCTCTCAGAGATTGGGGAATGAGTTTAAGTGGTGTAACCAAG